ATTATTTTATAGTTTTAGTTAAAGCTCTATATATAGAATTCGATCAGAAAACAATTATGCAGTGTTAAAATGTTCTATTAAATAGTTAAAACTATGGCTTTAATTAGGTCAAATTATTATACACATTCACAATTAACTCAATTTTTTTCAGTTAATTGTTTGATATCTAGGTATCCTGCAAATGTTCTCACGCCCAAACGATCGCATCGAAATGGCATCGCAATTCGGGTTGAAACGTACATTTGGTACCGTGGTTTTGCAACGGTTGAATGATGTATTAATAAGTGTGGTTTTTTTGTGTCTATGTATGTCTGTCATTTTCATCTTTTAAGATAAAACAATAACTAATAAGCCAATAAATAAATAATAATATGTACGTACTTACAGTGGCGTAATTCGAGTGTTGTAATTAGTGTAGCATTCTCGCAATACCAAACCATTTTTAGGTGTTGCAAAACTATTGTTTCACAACACCAAAGTTATTCAAGTCTGTAGGTCTTACGATGTATTTAAATGAGTTAGTAAAACTATATACAATAATCGATACACTAAATCTAATTTTCAATATTGTGATAAGATGGTTGTTACTTATTACCTAATGTCAATAATAATCAAAATTAGAATATTGAAGTATTTTTAAAAAATCTACAACGCCAAAAACGTGAAGATGTGACCTAAAATACGTCGCTGCTTAGGTACTGAACAACTTAAGAGGACGCTACTCGCTTTTATTGTGTTGTTACTTGTGACTTGCCTATGCTTTACACACGTGTAATTCTTACAACAGTATGTATTTATAGACTTATAGTGTTAAAGCAAATTTTCATATTTTTTAATACGTAATAGATAACATAGAAGTTAAAACTCGGCCTAAGCGCAGGGTTTTTTTTTCATATTTTTATTTTAAAATTAATTATAAGCATGCAAATAATTCATATGAACTCAGTAAATATTCCTCTCTAAAAATTCAACAATACCATGTAAAATGTCTCTAATATTGATTATTTACGAACTGTTATAAGAATTCGGTTGGTAGATTTGCTTTTGTTACACGTTTGTAAGGCAGAAACAACACAGCAAATTCGTTTTCAGCAGTTCCAATTTAGTGTAGTGAGCTTTAAAAATACAATGAGTTGAAGTACTATCAAACTTAAAGGTAAGAACATTAGTTGCACTATCACATGGTTTTTTACGATGTTTACAATTTTAAGCAAGCTGTGTTGCCTATGTAAAATATTACAATTTAAACATTTTCATTATTCGTTTATGAAATTTAAATAATGTAAAAAACCTATGTGAAAGCACTGATAATGTTCATATGCTTAAGTTTTATTATTGGTAAGTTATCTCCATTATTCAAGGTTATTGCACAAAATTGGAACTGCTGAACACAAATTTGTCATGCAGTATATTCGTAACACAGATACATATGAGGTTCTCATCTATATTAGTAGATTGCTTAAACTTGTGGACTTAATAACAATAAAAAAAAATATTAGGTGAATGTAAAAAATAAATACCTACGAAATACTAAGTATCAAGCATTTATATGCCATCGTCTATTCGTCCATCACTCGCTCACGTAGTTATAAGGGTAAATTTATGCATAACTATTAACTACTCACCTTCCGCGAAACGTCATCAGTTGTTAACTAATTAGAGTTATAAATAAAAAATCACAATAGTCTTTAGAAAACAATGCATAGTGCAAAATTATGACAAGATCGAACTCTTCATTTAGGTATTATTATTAATAATAAAAACAATCGTTTTCATCGTATGACTTAATAATTTATTCAGTGATCAGCTAGGCACTCAATGACGAGAATACGAGATATTCTATTAATACCATTGGTAATGATTATGATTTTGTTCTGAGGGGGCGAGTGTGCATATTTTTTTATGCAAACTTCAGGGGGGATTACCCCCACCAATACCACTTTGTGCCCAAAGCACTGTTTTTTATTTTAATACACAGTAAAAACATTTATTTTGCATGTTTAAAAGTCCTTTTTTTAAGAAGAGATTTTGAAAAATCACATTTTCAGGACATTTAAGAAATTAATTGGAAAAAACCTTGATTTTTATAGTTTATCAATTATTATTTATTTCTTCGGCGTCAGAGGTTATGCTTCTATAGAAAGCTAGCATAATAGCTACATATAGTTGGTACTTTATACTATAACATTAAAAAGGTAGGCAAGTGGGTATCGCTCTGCTGTACAGTAGGTGTCAAGAAAGGTCACTGTAATGGATGTGTTAAATTTTAATTCAATAATATAAAATCATTGTACAAGAAGTTTTGAGTGTTTCATGAGAAAACCGATTCTGAGTGATGACGGCCTGTATTACTAAGTATATTTTATACTTAGTATTAATGCTATTGAAATAATTTATTTTATTATATTAGACTTTATTAATTCAGTAGATTACTTAATCTTTGTAAAAAATATTTAATTTTAAAACGTCATTGTGTGTATAAAATATAATAACATAATTTAAATGTGTCAAGTTTAAAGTCGTTCAAATATAAAAAAGAACCTTATTCTAAATTTTCAAACCTATAAGCTGTACATGAACATTCTATAAATTTTTTAAATTTTGATGAATTTTGTCGAATTTTGAACTTTAAACGCTTATAAAAAAATCCATGTCTATGAATCATTAATATTTTTCAACATATTTGACAACAACTTACGTGGAAACTTGTATTACATTTTCAAGCTTTTCGACACATTAACAATTTTTATCAAGATTTACAGAAAAAAGACCAAGAAATATTTAAAATATCTATAAATAACTCAAAACCAGTCAAAATATTTCAAAAATTATATAATTTATAGAAAATAATAAAATATACGAAATAAGCGAATGACACATTTTTGTTTTTTTTCAAAATTTTTTAATAACTCAAGATATTTCTAACATTTTACTCTATCAGTGAGAAGCTTAAAATATACGTAGTTATTTCGTAGTTTGCCCTTTCCCCATTTTCACTACCTTCCCTCTCATCAAAAGATTTTATTTCATTTATTGACTATTTTTTTTAACCATTTTTTAATAATATGTCATATATAGCAAACTATTTTATGGATAGAAGCACAAAATGTCTCATTCACGTAAAATCATGCCCGAAAAAGCACATGACTTGGTGGAATAAATGTATCAAACATATACATAAATGGGACATACAGACGAATTGGCCAAGGAAATAAATACAAAATTCTGAAAAGTATCACCTCTCTTTCCACCTGAAATTTGGAATGTATACTAAACTATATTACTTAACACCGAGCGTACAAATAACCAAACTGAATGTTTCAATAATTGATTTTCGAAGTTGCTATATAAGCACCCTTCTATTTGGAAGCTCATAAAGAAATGACATCGGAAGTTGCAGCCGATGATACAAAACTTCAGCAATGGTTATTAGGCACTGTCCAACCAAAAAAAAAACTTAAGAAGTATGAAAAAATGCAATTGAATTTTAAAAAAATATGTAGAAAGTATAGAGATAAGCAACGTCGTCTACCGAATTTTTCGTTAGCTATATCTCGTACCAAAACGTTTACATTTATAAATTATGAAAATTGTAAATTTATATTGATGAAATATGCATTTAATTACATTTTTTCTGATTACTTATACATTTTTCACAATTTTACCAACAATAAACGTGACTTATAATATTATGTTCTACTTATTATATTTACTAATACCCTATTTTCTACCCTACTTGTTATATTTATGTTTCTGAATATTTTATATTTGAAATGGCTATACGTAATATATTTTTTAAGTGAATTAATTTTTACAAAATAGAATATATTATTTTAAAGCTGTTGTGAAATGGAGAGGTTTTGTGATGGCAGCGATGGCACTTAATGGGCCGATAAGCTGAAGAAGAAGAAGAAGAAGAAAGCTGTTGTGTTAGGAAAAAAATTAACTATACTACATATTTCCATATTGATTTTTCTATACTTATACCTGTACCTATGCCTTTTTTCTCTAGATTTGTATGTGTTACATGTTCTATTTTATTTTTAATCTATGGAGAATTAATCCTTTTAACAGTAAACACTCATATTCTCGAAAAGCATTTTTAGTATATGAAAAACTAATTGTATTTTCTATCGTTATTGTTTAAGTTCTCACATTTTGGTACATTTAAATTTCATATTTGGATATATTGAAAAAGAACATTTTTCCGAGAACTTTTATCTATAAAAATCGACCTTTAAACAAACAGTTAATTTTCTATAACTTAAAAGTATTTAAATTTTAAATGAGAGGAGTAAAGAGGCACAAGATTACGCTCATCAAAACTTTAAACAATTATAACTTAATAACTCAGAAATAATAATACATAACACGTAAATTCTCAGAAAAATATTCTGCAAATATAATTCTACATAATTCTATGAAATTGAAAATAGTTTTTCATTCGAAAAGATAAAAATTTTGAAAATATTTATTTTTTAACAACACTGTTTTTTTAACATAACTAAAAATTAAGAAAAATATAAAAACTTTAATACTTCTTTGGAATGATAATGTTGAAAGAATCACCCAGTATATTCTGCTGTTATTCTAATTATGGATGCCGTATAAGATTTTTTTGGATCTTATAATATCTCAAAAAGTAACAATTACCACTAAACATTTAAGAAAACCACTAATTACCTTTATTGTTATTAATAACATTTTTACCTTTTAAGAAGTTAAATAATTTATTTTGACTTATATTTAATATATAAAAATATACAATTATTTAATAACCCAAAGGTTAAAGGTACTGTCTTAAAATATGTTTGTATTAGTGTTATTATAATATATAATATGTATACTACACAGTTCAAAACATGTTATATTTTCTGTAGAAGTTAATAATATTTTAAGATATCTTGTGGCGCGTAATGAACGATTTGTTGGCTATAGATTGAACTGTGGAGTATACATAAGAATTAATAGACATAATAGACATAATATTAGCTGCATCGTATAGTAAAATCGTACTGTATTTTCAAGTAATTCAACATAGTAGTTTTATAAAAAAAAAAATAAAATGAAATAATATAGTAGGTATAATAACATACAAATTTAAAACATTTATAAAACACACATTTTAAAATTCTAGATTTCTAAATTTCTATGCAGTAAAATGTATTCACTAATATAGTAATATATGATACAGTTTAAACGTGTAGAAATGGATTTAATCAATATTGTTACGAATGAAAAAAATTATGAAACAAGACGTGAAATATATAATGCAGGGGCGCAAGGCGGGCCAGTGTTTTCCTGTTATTACAAATAGTTGACATTGGAAAACGTGAAATCACATAGGCCCCCCGATACTACTTAAATCTGTTTAAATCATTAAATCATAACAATAAAAAAAAACAGAAACAGGTATCATATTGACTAAATTTAAAAATAATATATAATATTGTATTGCTACAATAGTATATTATTCAGACAAAACACGAAATTAAAGCGTATATCAGACCTAAATGTTTTAAAGCTTAAAATTAATTATAACACATAAATTATAGTATATAATATATAGTTTCAACGACAATATTGCATTTTAATTACTCGTTGAAATTAACGACGAATATACAAGAACGATACAGACGATGATAGTATAAACACGGCCTTAACGTTTAAGACATTGATCATTGGCTAACAAAATGAACACGATTTCTTGTTCTCCGTATTAGGGCCAGAGAGTTTTACGAGTTCTGGTTGGTCGGTTTCATCGTTGTACTGTCCCATCATCGAGTTGATTAAAAACCTTAAAAAACCATACATATTATAGACAACGTTTTGGACGAAGGGTCTGAGAAATTGACTTACTGCATGGAATCGTTAACCATCAACCCGTCTTTAGCCGAAGTCTCTGTCCAGCCGATAAAATTGTTCTCTTTGTAGAACGCCTCGATATCCAATTGATCGATTTGACGTTGGGGTAAATCACACTGAAACAATATATTATGATTTATAACATTTCAATATCTGCGTATGACTGTGCGTATGTTACGGCCTGCATGTGTGTACATAAACGATATATCTAATGGCCTAACACTAAACATCTAAATGCATATTTCTAAACCCATTATACACGTATACGAAGAGAAACTGAAGTTAAGTAAATATTAGGTATAATCGATGTATATATGATTGAATAAAATATGAATAGAACGTTAAAAATTTGAAGCCTGCAATTTTTTCTGCAATCACAGTCCGTGTCCGTGATACTAATATTGGTATCAAATATTACACATATATGTATATATCGAACGATAAAAGGTCAATAAATATGAGTAAAAAAACCTATACATTGCAGGCAATATACATTTTTATCTCATTTTAAGAAAGATGTACTTTTAATTCACCAAACATACTTCACCACCATTTTTACCTTCGATAACGAATTTGTTCAAAATCCGATTTTTGAATTTTTAAATATACCTAAACTTATGGACCACATTTTCGTATAAACTTGATTGATTTTTTAATATGGAGCAAATTTCTTTTTTTAAATGAGAACCCACCCTTATTCACTCTAAATTATTACTCAGGTAATATTTTTGGATATTTTGAAGCATCTAAATTGAATTTCGAATGAGTGGTTCTGAGTCAATAGACTTTATGTACAATAAGGATAACGGACCTTCATAATAGGTTTAGGAACTATGCGGGTTATAGTTTATGTGAAACCATTATTAAAGACTATTATCCTTATTGTACATTAAGTTTAATTACTCAGAAACTATACTCATTTGAATTTCGATTTAGACACGTTTAAATTTCTAAAAAAATTACCAGATCAACAATTTACTGTAAAAGAAGATTAGTTCTCATTCGACAAAAAAGTTTATCGCCACATCACACAGTGTAAAATGGTGTAAACAACTTAAAAACCCAAGTAAATAGTATAAAATAGAATGATTACAAATTTCAAAAATCAGAATTAAAAAAAAATTCATTATTAAAACACCGTCAAGTAGCGGTATAGGTAAGTATTACTGTACAGTGAATTTCGGATGCATTACATTTGAATTAGATAAAATAAATCATTATACATCGATGAAAAATGACTCTGAGTGAAGAATTGAAGACGCTCTAACTTTTGATAAACAATAGATAACCAAACAATTTTTTTTAATAGTAAAAATACAATTATAATAAAATAAATAAATGTTAGTCATATTTTGTTGTTTTTTTCGATTATTTTAAAAATTATTAAGCATTTTTAATTTTGACCCTTAGGCGTCAATTGAGATCCAATTTGTTATCAGAAAACTACCTCAAAGTTGATGATCAAAGTGTCTCTTTTACTAGAAAAAGTGTCTTCAGAATCTGAAGTTCAGACATACATATAAAAAAACAAAACACACATCATTAAAGAACAAATATTTCTTCGGTCCACTAAGAATATAAAAAAAATGAGGTTGAGTATGATTGGTGAATCACTCTGTATATTTAACAGTGATTGAGTGTTTATCTTTAGTATCCAGTACCTACCTATACTTATATGATCGGTACATAATAAATTTCAGTGATATGTATAGACCCTTGTACCTTTAGATAATAGTAGGATGATGATTGTTTTTCGAAAAGAGTACTTTCATTTTCTACACTAAGATAACAGCAAAACATAAAAACAATCATTGTTTATTTACGTAAGACAATCATAATATTATTTTTAACCTGAAAGTGAGAACTATAATATAGTTATTATTGACTATTGAAGCCATACACGAAAAGAAAAAAAACAGTTTGATTTTTGTCTTACCAATTTACCATTGCCAACATTACATTAAACGAGATGATTAATACATAATCATTAAATACATGATCAATGATAATAAATATATTATGATATACATATGGTAAATAATATAATAATAAATAAATAAATATTATAGTTATGATGAGCTTTTATGTACATATTTAAATTGAAAAGACAACAAAACATTAAATATGATTAAAGATCGGTATTAGTTCCATATTAAGAAATACAATTTTGAACATATATAGAATTAAAACTGAAGTAGTGTCGTATACAGTTATATACGTATTTTATCATAAAACATTTTTATTTCTTGGTTTTCTTCAGCATTTTTAATTATTAAATAAAAAAATGAATTTTTGTTTTTTAATTTTCTAATTTTGTATTACAAAAAAAACTACGGGGACAAACGATTACTACCTGTATCGATTTTACAATTTTTATTTTTATTATTCGGTATTGTGCTAGGAATATAATAAAAAATGAAGACAATTGTGATCGTTAAATAATCAATTTTTAAATTATAAAAAAAAAATAGACTATTAAATATAAAAAAGGTATTCATAAACATTATAGGTATAAATTGTATATTCCAAAATAAATCGTTTTTTTTTGTAATTAAAATTATGAATTCAAACCCTTTGATAGGTATTTTTAATATCTAAAAAAAAATAAAAATCTTCACACAAGTCTTTATTGGTTTTGGCTTTAAAGTAAATAAATAAAAAAAAAAGTACTACTACTAATTTAATTACATAGGTACGGTTTAATAAACTGTTATAGGTCATCAACAATCATTAATACTCACTATCAAGTCACAAAATAAAATAGTATCTTTATGATAAAATTCAATGTTAATTGTTGTATTATGTAAAGAAAATGATTACAGAATTTATAGTTCTTTAAAGAATAATATAAGCTCTTGTATTATTTGATTAATTTTTTTTTTACTTTTATCTGTTTATGCACCAACAAATAAAATACAAAATAAATACTTAAAAACTTTATAATATGAACTGTATCTAGCATACTTGTTTTAGTAATTAATGTATACAACTAAGGTACTTATTATTGTATCCGAAATAATATTTTTGCTTGTTAACATTTTTCTAAAATATAATTCGACTTAATAATATGACTGCCAGGTTTCACATATAAATACACCCATTTATACTTTATATTTATGTTTGTATTATTTTAGATTAGGTACAAAATATGTTTTATCTAAATTAACAGCCGTCTATTAAGTTTTTTGTCTTTGCTATGCTACGAATATAGTAAGTACATAAATTGAAAAATAATTATGTGTTTAGGTCATACATTTTATTCAAGTTATCTCAAAACTAATTGACGATAATTACTATTTAATTTCTTCACACCATTATTAACACTTCACAGGATCTCTTATATAAATAAATAAACTATAAATACCACATATAAATTATATATACAATGAGTTTAATTTATGGCATTATCACACAATGCCGCATAGTTTGATACAAAGGAATGCGATTTGTTTATTGATTTAAAAATGAATGATTTACAATGTCACTTATCTGTGGAGAATATACTTTATAGTATATTAAAAGTGGTACCATGACGGTTCCAACAATTGTTATTGCGTTATAACCCGAGATTATACAGTAAAACGGTTTCATGGGGAACAGACTTGAAAATACAATTTGAATATATTTACAGCAGATTTACCTGATACTAAAATTTACCTTTATATAAAAATCATGTATCTTTATGAATGAATGATTTCATTAAAATAAAACATACCACTCATGGATAAAATACTTCTCTTTGTATTGTAAAAATTTAATAAAGCTACTGAAATAAATAGTCTGTGAAAGTGAAAAACTATTTTCATGGATTAATTACTAAAATAAATATTGTTAATTATCGTGTGTAACGATATCGTCTGCCTTAGATGATATGTATGCAATAGCCATTAATCATTATTAAGGTACTGAATAGGTATAGGTACAAAGACTGAAGGACATAAGATATTTATATGAATCTCGTGGTTTAATAATTGTAATATTATAGTAATCGTTATGAAACCTGAAGGGCTAAAGGAGAGTCTATGTTTAAAAAGCGTCCTTACTTTATTTCCCAACAGCATGCATGGTATGGGACCGCCGTCTAATTGAGTGCATTTTGCATCCACGTCTTTTTTCCACTTGAGAGTGTTTAAAAACGAATTCTTATTTGACAAATCAAACATAATCACACATCCATGTGCGTCTTTGTAGTATACGCGGGTCATCCACGTAAACCTCTCTTGACCTGAGCATATACAAAACAGTGTCATGATTATACATAAATAGGTAGGTAGTAGGTACATTTATATTTAAGGTTTACTTAAAATCTTGATAACCATACGTAGGCACAGTTAGAGTGACTGACCTGCATTTAATATTTCACTTGAAGTTTATAATAATTACTAGTTATACGACAGCTCGGACGTTCAGTAATTACATTTTGATATAAATTATAATTTTTAATTTACGCTATACAGCACAACCTAAATATACCCAAATATATAATAGGTTTTGCATAAAAATGATTGAAAGTTTTTAGAAAGTTTATAAAACACAACAGCTGCGTTCTCTATTCCAAAGAGAAATATAAATATGTTACTATGAAAATTAACCGGAATCACACGGTATGAGTAAGCTGCCGTACTGCTAACTGCTAAACCTAAAACATGATACCTACATATGTAGTATAGAACTTAAGTTATGCCATATAGATATTTTCAACTTTTAAGGAATGAACAATTCAAAGTTACATAATAATAAAATAATTGTATTTATAATTTCCATTTTTTTCGTAAATTATTTTAATTTGCACCTTGTATGATTCACTGAACTAAAATTATGTAACTATTGACTTATATTACAACAAATATTATAAATAAAGTCATTTTCAAATACAACAACACCCTATTATTTGTACTGTACAGTGCTTATATTATTATCAAACATTATATAAGACCTAACAACAAACCTGCTATATCCCATAGTTGTAATTTAATAGTTTCCGTTTCGGAAACTTTGATAATTTTTAATGCGAAATCAACACCAACTGTACCCTTGTACTCTCTGCTGTATGATTTTTGTACATATCGTTTGACAAAAGCAGTCTTGCCCACTGTCGGGTCTCCTATTATGATTACTTTGAACAACTTTTCCGGCATTATGGTATCTGAAATTTAAATAATTAAATAAACAAAGCTGTAAGACGCAAGTATGCAATAAGAAAAGATTGATTTATAAGCGTTAATAGAAACAAACTGTGATAACTATATTCTGATGTCCCAAAAATCTCGTATCGACCCCATAAACATTCCAGAAGCAAAAGAATAGGTCATTTTTAACACGATGTTTTCGACAACGTAGGAATATACCTATAGAGGATTCATATATATATTTAACATTTTCAAAACCCTATTCCATCATTCTTAAAAACTAAGTGGAATTGTTTTCAATGCCAAAATGTGACATTCGTCATCGATTTGGTTTATAAGTCAAAAATTACTGAAAAAATCTTTTTATGTGATTCATTCATCTGCAGGCAAAATCGGGACTATTTTTACAACAGTTATGATAATTCTTAAATTGTATGGATCAAAGTTGTTCATATTAACTGTGATCTGGGGCCACAGCTATACACGTGAGATCAAATGGGACTCACATCACGTTGAGAGAAATGTGCTTGCCAGTTGTCTGTACATAGTCTATAGATATATGGCAGTATAAAATAGCGTAGGACGATTAATTACTTGCCTGGGTGTTACAAACTTTTAAGTTACCTATACAGTGTAAACACGATACACATCGTTCACACTCTGATTGTGTTGCGTAATGACTAGTGATACATAATATGAATTTGCGTACAAACAACTCCTCGAAAACGACAATACACAACAGTAGAATATATTATTATCAAATAGTGCCTCACCGGTTTAGTCTTCGAACGCACTATATAGGTACATTCCTCTACGGCTCTACCCACCACCTAACTAAATGTTAAGACTTACATAATTATTTAAATAAACTTAACGGGAATACCTAATCACTTTAAAAAGTTTACATAAATAAAAAATTATTACCTACCTACTATATGTAATCTCAAATTCATTTATGATTCGAATAAAAATAATATTCTGCAGGCTTTTAAAATTAGTAATTATTTTTCACAGATACTATTTACTTGAAATGTTATCAATGTTGTGAAACTTACACAACCAGTTAACAGTTAAAATTGAAGCATATAATATGGTGCTTAACTTGATTATTGTGATAGGTACAGATCTAAAATAATATTTAACATTTGTATTTCATGAATATACTGCAAACAGGTAAATTATGTAAAAATGATCAACCAATTCATAGAAAATTACAACTGCTATTAATAATATATTCATCGCTAATATTTTATGTAGGTAACCAATAAACATTATATAAAAAAAAAATTTAATTTTAAGAAATCATAATTTTGATTGCATAATGGAATATTTAAATTTTAAATATAAATATATTATGTAGACATTGATTTTTTTTTATAAGCAAATAAAGATAATAATTATAGAGTGCAAAATATATATCATTGACTAAATAGTGATTTACGAAATGAACAACACATCGTAATAATACATCTATAGATAATACTACTTAAACATGGTTTAAATATAAAGTATTATATATGTATAAATATATGATCTATAAACATATATCTACATATTACATAGACATAATATAGATAATAAAATATTTGCAGCTTAAACAAAAATCAATACGCTTCTACAACATTATATTCTGATACATAATCTAAAGTAGCAGCTATATAGACCAACAAAAAGTAAACAATTAATGGTGTTACAAATTACAATCAATTACGGATTGGGTCAAAGCTTCGAAAAACACAATTCTGAACAAATATTCATTATGTCATATTGATGGTTCTATAATGAATAGAAAATTATAAAACCTGTTATAATCATCGTTATGTATAAATAGTACCTAAATCAGAATAAATCGGTCATATAAATCATATAATCCAAGGAACTATATGAATATGATTAATATGATACGAAACTCGTTTCACTAAATTTTAGATTCTGAGCGGAGCAATGAATTAATTATTTATTTTGAAACAATGTTTTTTTTTTGTGTGTGTCTTTCATCACCTTCTGGGGCAGTAAAAGTGTTTATTTTCTTCTATACTATCTTTTCTGATATGGAAGTGAATCTAGTTGTTCCTTCCAGAGGTCAAAAGAAAAAAATTCTCAAAGGTTTTCAAAAGCAGAAGGAAAAACAAACAAAAAATTAAGGAACAACGGAAATTTTTGAGGAAACCCGGTTTTTGACAAAATCAGCTTTAGTTTATGATGTAACCCTCAAAAACATACATAGAGTTATAACGTAATGTTTATATCCGTATTTTCATTATACTATACAATTTTCCACATATTTTGACTCGTGTTGAACTTTTTACTTATGAAGTTAGACTTATGATTTTTTTGATTATTATTGGTTTTTTCTCAACTAATGTCGATAAAATGTTTTCCGCTCGATCAAAAAACTTGAAAATGTAATACAAAGTTTCAAAGCTTGTAAATTGTTGAGAATGAAAATTTAAAAAAATTCGAGGGTAAATCTACAATAATTTTTTTAATGAGGGTTTGAATTTAGAATTTTGACAAAATTCGTAAAAATCACGAAAATTCGCAAACTATTTTGAGTTAGAAATTCATAAAACTTTTCCTTAAGTAGTTAATTCTGTAACCAAAATATCTAAAAAATAAATAAACATAGTTTTTTTTTAGTTATTTTATGTTCAAATTTGAACGAAATTATATATTGTTAAATAACCAAGAATAATGATTAAGCTATTTTATTGTAACTTAAAAATATTATTCGTGGGTACCTAATATAAACTTTTAGAGTACCTGTATAAAATTATGTATCCACTGACCCGCTTTTTTACTTTATGTCTTTTAATCGATTTTAAATAAATAAAGCTATTTATTTATTTCATTAAAGTTATAGATAAATAGGAGGTACTTATACATTTACTTAATAAACCTAAGACATTTAACGACTTCAGTTTATATTTAAAAAGTTCGAATGTATTAATTCATGTCAACATATTTTTAAGTATACCTCTTAGCTGAAAATCACGGATGTCATTCCCGATGTCATTATTTTCGCCTGACGAGCGTGCATTTGGTCTGCGGTAACAATTGTATAATTTGTCATGGTCATCCCGATATTTTTTTTCTTCAAAGTCTGTGTCGTTGTCGTTAACGAATTGAGTCTTTAGCAAAGACATAACATATTCAGTGTCTTCCAAAAATATCAATGTTGATCCGATTGAGCACACTTAATAAAAAAAAACATATTAAGGTAAATTTCACTCAAGTGCAGTTAAATAAAAAGTTCTTTTTCAGAAACAAAAAAAAATCACACCAAATTTAAACTACAAAAAAAAAAGTACACTTTATTTTTTATTTATATTTTAAATAGTAGGTATGTACTAAGTAAACATTAAAATATTTATACACCAACAATATACAGTATACTCCATACACAACACACATTAGTGTATAAGTAATAATTCTTAATTAATAATATTTAATTTATTCATAAGCAATTTTTTATATTTTAGTTTGTGTAAAAAGTAAATTAATTAAGAATATTGCATTATTAAAACATACAAGAAAACAATTTAAGAATTAAAAACTTTTAAGTGTTAACCCAATACTTTTCATATAAACTAAATCTGCATTTTATGGTTGAATTATTGAAAACAAATTAAAAAACTTAAATGCCATTTTATTTTACATGATTTTATGATACCAATGTACGTATTATGTTTGAACAGGTTTTTTTGTACGTTCTGTAATATTTCAAATACGTCGAGTTTCGATTTTTTGTTATTATATAAAGGTATTTCTAAATTTTTTTTTAGACATAACCTACATTGTGTAGGTATAATGAAAGGTAATGCAATCTTTAACATTAGGAATTTACTAGTCTGTTAACATTTTAAGCAACTTAACATTTCAGTAATCAATAGAATTAACACACAAAAACTAAATTCAATACAAATAACTAATAAATTATGAATAACGATGAAACTGCAGAGTACATATAATATGGATTCATTACATTCATCTCACTTCGAGATTCATATAGATATTGCTATAAATCGGTGTAGTTCTATCGTAATTAGCAAATAGTAAACTGAAACTTTGATGATTCTGATTGAAATCCTATTTTTTGTAATATCTAGCATTCTAGCTATTTTCAAAAATTGATTTAATTAAATGGTAGAATTTGTCAATTCTGCGGGAATTTTATGCCAAGGAACAATTTCAAGTCATCTGCAAAGGCTAAAAATAAATACAGAACCATAACTCATGAGGGAAATTAAAATCACTCCATTTAATTTATTAATTATACAAAATGTATTGGAGGTATGATCAACTTGAGGAACATTATTAATATTGACACCAGATGAACACGATTTGACCTCACGATTGGAGCAAAATTAGGTTTCACTGATGGCCAGGCTAAATACAGTTAACTCATAATTACGTGTAGCAGACAAACTGTCCGGCCCAACTGACATATATTTAGGAGTAGTAGTGTTCACACAGATCCTCCTTTGCTGTCGGTTCAAACGGAAAAAAAAAACTGACATATATCTAGTGACAAGTGGTTAGTGAATGATAAAGATAGTTCAGTAGGTGGATATTAATACAAATTTCATGAGAAAGGTTATAAAATGTCTAATTATAAAAATAACTTGAGCTTTCAAAAAAGTTTTTTAAGCGAGGTCTTGTTTCAAATAAATAAATTTAATAATAAAACGTTCTAGTAGGGACCCCAATTATAAATCGAGGGATTACATGGGGGAATATAGGTATCTCGACTAAAGTCTAGTTTATATTATGTGTGTGTGTACATACTACATGTACAATATACATATATATTATATAGTATACTATACACATCATATGTATTGATTAAACAGCTTCCGTCAGTCTATTTCCAATTTACATTTTGAACTGAATATGTTACGTATAAAAATTAATACAAATTAATACAAATTATTTCATGAGTTGACAATGTTCAAAACATTATAGAAAATTAGCCTTGTGAACTCCGAAAATGCATTGTAACAAGTAAAAGAGAATGTCTAATAAAATATTTTTTACATTTTTTTTAATTGACAAATATTTATGAGGGGGTCATGTTCGCTAAAAATGATTCATATAATAGTAAAAATATTGGAGCTAATGAATTATCAAGTTATTACGTTGTACGTCAATAATTATTTGACGTAAATACAGTGACAAAAACTTAATATATTTGGACTTTAGGTACTGAGTTTGTATGTCACACTACAATAAATGGATAGCAACTATACAGTTTTTTATGGCTCGGTTTTTATTTGTTTGGATTATTATATTTACACTTCTTGATAAATTATTGTAGTCCGGTTATCTTTACATCGCGTCTATTGACAATACAACAGTGATCGACATTCAATGTTTACTAATTATAATTTACAGTCGTTTATCTAAACTACAATTTGGTACAACGGATGGAACTTTAGAAAACAGCTTGCATTGTACCTAGTTTTCATTTTATTTGGTACCTATTACCATCTACAAGTCAAAACTTACATACGAACTTAATATTTTTTATTATTATTTGTCGGTTGTAAAGAGTTTTGAATTGCCTTATTGTTAACATACTAACCGTTTTAAATTATTGATTGAAACTTTGAATTTAATCTGTACTAAACTACTAAAACACAGATTTTATAGAGTTTATGATATAATATTCACAATTTATTAAATGCCCCTCCCCCTACCACCTTTTAAATATTCTGCCTGAATTTCCAACGTATCTCTTACGATCTTTATATGTTTGATAAACTCTAATAACTAATTCTTTCAAACTAATAAATTGGTAATTTTTTGTTTTTTAGTATTTTAAATTTCAACAATAATTTACGTACTATATTATGATTCGGCATTAGGCACATAGAAATAAAATAGCAATTAATTCACTAGATTACCTAATGCCAGTACTTTTCTAACAATAATATTGTCAGGTATAATCTATAAACATTAAACATGTTTACGACAGAAAAATAACTTCATAGAAATGGGTTGTGAAACATAATTTATTCAAAATCATGGTAAGGAAACTCGTATAGTAAATACTCTTAGGCGTACTTAATTATTGGAAATTTACATAACCACAACGTATAAAATAAATACACGGGAAACCGGGAAGTATTCAAACAATTAGTCATCATGATTTATAAATTTTTCTAATTCCATAATTGCTTAACGATGATTTAAAACATTGTTATGCAAGGCACAGAATCAAACTTGATGATACATTTAATATTTTTATTATAATATTATATATAGGTACATTTCATATTGAATCTTGAAAATATCTCCAATAAAAAAGATATATTATATGATCTATAGACTATAACTATAAAATATATATATACAATTTATTAAAAAAATGTTAAGGCCTATCAAATATTATTCATTCCTATATTTGTGTTAACATCAAATTTGAATGCATTTAATTTGATTGAATATGTTTTTTAGCATATTAACACGCGATTATTAGTAAATAATAAAATGAATATTGGAACCATTAAGATTAAATATTAATGTATTTTCCAATAGGTAGGCAATAGTCGGTTTGCTACTTGAAGTTATCATTTTCTCAACATTCGTTACAACGAAAATCAATTCCTAAAATCATCATGTACCTTCATCAAATAAATTATCAGCTTTTTTTTCCTATCTGATTCTAACCTAACAAAAAAATCAGAAATATTAAAATATACTAAATTTGCTAAGTATTATACAATTCATTTTAGTACTTACCTAATATATTACTATGTATATGTGTATATATCACTATTACACTATATCAGTATTCAGTATATACCATCACTGATCCAATCAATCAATGCGTTTATTATAATACAATTCTTAAATAATTAACCGTGTCCATCGTTCAAAGATTTTTAGTTGTAATTTTATTAATTCACACAAAATTGCGAAAATGGTTTGAAATACATAATATAGTATAAAATAACTTAAGTGTACATTTAATTAAATTGAAATTTGTTAATATTAAGTTTTTAAAAACGGCTTTTTGTATTTAACAATGGCATATATTTCTTTATTGATAACTTTTCGATCAGGAGTGTGTTTCAATAGTTCTAAGTTGATTTATATGCGCTCAGTAATTTATCTGTGAGTATAAGAAATAACTACAGATAACCATTGAATATTTTTTGAAAAATTTTACTAAGTCTGTTTTATCTGAAATCCCTTCAGAATAATTTTTGAAATGATTCATAATTGTATCAACTAAGTTTTATAATGATTTATCATTTATTAATGTTTGAACTGATAGGTACATATTTTTAACAATTAAAAACTAATATAATATTTTGATATTGCTTTTCTTTCGGCAGTCTGTCATATCACTGAATTATTACAATAGTGATAGTAATATTTCTGCGGATTTACAAGTTACTAACGTACCAAATATTTTAAAATTTATAAAAACTATTTTTTTTCTTTTAGCGGCCCTTAGTGTTTATATAATTGTGTAAATTGACTTGCCAACTACAAAAGGTTTTACCAACCTGACCTATATGTACTAAGTAGTCAATGCATTTTTAAGTTGCTTATGCCAAGTTATGCAGTCCGTGCAAAGTCATAGGTTATGGTAAAATATAGGTACGAAATAAAAAATTACTGAAGTCTACAGATATTTTAAATTTTTTAACACCAAATTTGATAGATCCTTTGGCGTGCACTATATATATAGGTACCTATTATACCATACAAAACAAATAATTAAAATTATACGTATGTAAATTAATAGTAAATACAAATCACGTCAATGATGGAATAAAAAATGTTGAAAACAGGTTGTAATATAACAAGGTTATAAAATACTATGTTTTTTACAGGAAACTTATGAAAAATGTTTATGTTTATACTTAATTAAAATATAGACAATAAAAAAATCTATGCGAACATCATAGTACCTATACCAATTTAACTACTCAACCTTCTACAAATATCCAAGGTCATATTGAGTATGGGAAAATCCGAAGTGGGAGTGAATACATTTAAGAAAACCAAGAATAAAGACATATATTTTAATAAATGCTTACAATAAATACTGCTTGTATTTTATTTGAAGTGTATAAAAAAAATTAACAGCATAATCATTCTTAAATGAGAAATATAACTTTTCACGCAATATCTACATCCTTGATTAGACTAATACGTAATTTTAATAGCTACATAAAATTA